AATTACCTTTTAAAGTTCGATTCCTCTAGCTTAGAGAGTCGAAACAACCTAGTAACGTTAACAAAGCCACGACGTAAGAGCGTCGCCCTAAGAGAGGTTATACTTACAAAAATGTACTCTTTCTTTAGATTCTTGTAGTATACGTACTTTGCTAACGCGGCTACTATACTATTAGGCCGTTACTCTTTACTAAGAAGGAATACTTACAGTCGTTATCCTTACACTTTGGTAGGGTACCCTGTAGGTCCTACAAAGCCATTTGGTTTAAACATCGTTTACAAGCTACTAAACGCTTTGTTAGTACTATGTTGTCGTCGGTAGTTTGATCGAGGTTTGTCAGAAGTTCGTTAGAAGAGTCGTAAAGGGGGGGGGGCGCGGTGGCGTTGTATTCGTGTAAGGTAAAAAGAAGAAAAGGAGACAACAAACTGGCAAAAACAAGTCTCTATATACCCCTTAGCGCTGTAAGGGAGGGACTAAGCGAAGAGGGACAAAGGAAGTGTTTTCTATATTTACTCGAAAAAATACGATTATAGGTAATACGGTTTAATCTCTACGGCTACCTACTGTCGGTGTGCTATCGACCTTCTGGCAAGAGGTAACAAAGGATTTCCGAAAGCGGCCAAAGGGTAAGGAATGCTAGCGCGCCTAGGTAATGCGGTTAGCACTACGCATTAGGGATCCTGCGACTACCCGGCGACTTACCGACACTCTACTATAAGGTGTCTTAGCTAAAAGTAAATGCGAGAGGCACAGGGCAGAGATCTAAAAGTGCGATGTACAATAGAAATTTCGCGGTTAGGCTACGCGCCTCTACTACGCTACAAAGTCGCTACCGCTCTCCTTTCCCTAACACTACTAGTTATATGGTTACGTATTTATTTACTAATTTATTCCTTTATTTTAGGGAGGGGACATTTAAAGGCCATATCTAGGCCTAACGCGGCCTCTCTACGATCTGACGGCTACCTATAAGCTTTTAAGGACAGAAGCTAAAAAGGGGGGATACTATGTCAGGTACGCTAACACGTAAAATTACAATAGCTTAGAAATCAAGTATAGGGTAACTACGTACTACGACCAAGGTAATAGTAGGCATTAAGGAGCATAAGAATAGAGGGCAGGGAGGGAAAAGAAGGGGGGTTTAGAGATCAGTCTATAGTTAAAGTAGCGATATACCTTCGAATATACTACGACTGTCCATCGACTCTTGCCTCTTCCACTCTGTAGAAATACACCTAACAAAAGGTACTTTGTATAATTACTTTACTTAGTTAATTTAATTCATTAATTCCTATAATACAACAATAGATCAAATATCCCGTGTAACATAGTAGTAATACTATTCGATCTCCTCTAACACTAAATTCAAATTCAAATCGTTTAATCTATTGATCTATTAAGATTTGTGGCAAGGCCTGTTTTTGATTATAGCGCGCCTAAAGATCAAACTAAGCTCTAGACTAGATTATAGAGCCTAGGAGATAACAGCTATATTACAGAACCCTAGACTAATCACGATGTCTAACTTAACTACGCTTACGAGTAGTAAGAGGCTATAGGGTAAGAGTAACTACTATACCTAGAAATCTAATATATTCGACATATTAGAAGCTAATAGACTCGATAGATACATATCTAAGAACTACCTTATTTTAAAGGTTGTTAAGTATAGTAACGCTAAAGCTACAAAAGAGGAATAAGAACAATATAGTAAATAAAGAGCTAGTAATATAGTAACGCGCTAGGTTATTAAAGAGAACATCTTATTAGTTCTTGTACTTAATCTTATAGCTAAAGTAGACTTAGTAGAGGCTATATAAACTAAGCTAGCTAATTACTATAAGGGCAAAAGGTTTACTTAATAGTACTAAGCGGCAGATAAGTTCTAGTTACTTAGATATAAGGATTATAATAATATAGAGAAGTTTATTAACGCCTTTATAACTTGACTTAAACAAGCTACTTAACTAGATATAGCGCCTAAGAGCGACTACTTATACGCTATTATCTTTATTAATCGACTTACGAAAGCCTTTCCTTAATAGGCTAAGAGACACTAATCCCTTTAAAACCTATAAAAGAGCGGCAAAAAGAGTACTCTATTACTCGACACGTTAATTATAGAGATTAGAGACAAAGCTTAGGTAAAGGATAGCGGATTAGTACTATTATTAGTATTACTATATAGTAGTAAGCCGGATAACAAGGATAAAGGAAAGGGCAAGGGCAAGGATAAGGATAAGAAGAAGCTTAAGAGAAAGTAGTGCTACTACTATAGTAAGCTTTATGTTATAAAGGATAAAGACGACTGTTAGACTACGTTTCTAGAGAAGCGTCTAAAGAAGGACTAAAAGGACTCTTTAAAGAGCGCTATATTACTCTATATAGTAGGTGATTAGTAGCTATAGATTAATAGCGTACTAGGCCTAAGGGCGTTAAAGGTAGCGCTTAGATTAGTTACTTAGAAGGAGTTTTAAAAGGGGAACTAGTGCCTAGATATAAGAGTAACTTACTATATATGTAACGATAAGTCGATCTTCTATAGCTTTAAAGTAACTAAGTAGTTACAACCTGTTCTAACAGGTACTAGATTAATCTAACTAGAGGGTTATAGTAATATCGTCCTAAAGGCTAAGGTAAGGGGCGATTAGTATCGCAAACTACGGCTAGAAGGAGTTTTGTTTATCCTAACCTTCTCTATTAATCTCTTATTAAGTATCAAGCTATTACGCTATAGCAGATCTATTATAAAGAGAGCCCTTCTAGATAGAGAAGGAGAGACACTTGTACTCTATAAGGTCGATAATATAAGGGTATATCTATAGTTAGACTTGCCTAGCTACTATATTATAGTACTACTAGCTACTCTTTAATAAGGTAAACTAGGAATCAAACTATAGTACAAGAGATTAGGGCACTTAGGCTTTAATAACGTCTAAAAGACCGTAGAAATTACTACTAGTATATAGATTATAGATAAGCCTATAGATACAGATCTTAGCGTTACAGTTCTATATAAGCCCTACAAGCTATCTAAGCTACTACGCTTAGTTAGACGCTCTATTAAACACTAGCCTACTATTATACTCTAAGAGGTAAGTATAGACATAGTAGAGGTTACCTTAATTAGATTCTATAGTAAGCGCTACACTACTATTATAACAGATATAGTAACTCGTACTAGATAAGGCTACCCTTATAAGAAGAAAGAGGAGGCTTACGATAAGATCCTCGGCTTTATTAACATAATAGAGCGTTAGTTTACCCCCTTTAAGATCCTTATATTAATAGTTAACAGTAGTAACGAATATAGTAGTATCGCGTTAACTAGCGTCTATAAGGTAAAGGGGATTTAAGTTAAAGAGACTATACTATATACTCTTAAGTAACTAGGCGTGTCTAAGATCGTAAACAAGATTATAGCTAGACGGCTATAATCTACTATAATTAACTAGAACGTCTCTAAAGAGCTATGGCTAGAGTTACTAGAAGAGACAATTTATGTTGTTAACAGAATAGCTACGTTAGCTATTAAGGGCAAAACCCTATATTAAGCCTTTATAGATTAGCTATACCTAAATCAAGATAACAAGCCGTCTATAGCCTACCTACAGGTACTTAGCTATAAGGTATATGTTTATATCCCGGATTAGAGACAGGTTAAGTTAGGAAAGTTTAATAAGCGTACTAAAAAGGAGATCCTTCTTAGTTTTAAAGGCTACTAAATATACCGCTATTACGTACCCTTAAGAGCGTACAAGATCGTTAGATTATTAAACGTAAGATTTAATAAAAGAGGTTTTGTATTAGAAGTATTAGATAATAAGATGTAGTTACTACTAACTAAACCGCGCCTACTAACTAATCTACTTATAGATTTAATAAACACTAAAGGCAAAGATAAAGCTAAAGATTAGGAGCTAGCTAAAGATTAAGATCTAGCTAAAGTAGCTAAAATAGCTAAGAAACCGCCCCTTACTACTACTAATATTAATCTACTAGCTAATACTAACTCTACTACAAAACAGATCTAAGATTAGTCGACTACCGCCTTACCTGATTTAGTAGCTATTAAGCGCGGCCAGGGGCGCCTAAAAGGTTTAAAGAACAAGCTAAAGGTAACTCTAGCTCTAGCTTAAGCTCTAGCTTAAGCTTAAGACTCTATACGTTCTATTAACCTTAAAACTACCTAAATAACTTAATCCTAATCACGTTACATAACTAAAGAGGATATAGGGGATAATACTAAGTAAGGAGTATAGTAATCAGCTTATTTAGCTATAGCTATAGCGTTCTACGCTACTTACTAGACCGTAGTTAAAGACGATCTAGAGAACGTTCTGATTACATATAAGGAGGCCGTTAGTAGTACTAAATCTAAGTAGTAGAAGGAGGCTATTTAGAACGAGCTCGACTTACTTGTAAAGAACGATATATAGACTCTAGTCAAGAGATTAAGCCTTTAAAAAGGAACTAAGGTTCTAGGTAGCAAGTAGGTGTTTAAGAAGAAAACTAGCGTTAATAGCTCTGTAATCCGTTATAAGGCACACTAGGTAGTTAAGGGATACAAGTAGCGTTATAGACGCGATTACAATTAAACTTACGCCGGCATAGCTAAAAGTATGACTTAGAAGGTAATCCTAGCCCTAGTAGCTAAAGAGGATCAAGAAGTAGAACAAATAGACTACGTTATAGCGTTCTTAAACAAGGAAGCCGATAAGGATATATACGTCGAACTTTTAACTAGGTCTAGCGAGGGTAACACTTACGTCTACAAACTTAATAAGGCCCTGTATAGTCTAAAGTAGGCTCTATAGTTATAGTAGCTAAAGCTACGACAAGTGCTTATTAAGCTAGGTTTTAAGCCCCTAATAACTAACGATTATATATACTAACACCCTAAGAGTAGATTAATCGTTATAACCTATATAGACGACTTCCTACTAGTCGGCCTAAAGAGAAAGGAACTAGCTAGTCTAAAAGTAGCCCTATAGAACGCTTTTAAGATAAAGGATCTAGGTCTCTACTACTACTTTATAGGCGTTAGGATTATTAGAGACAGAGAAAACAGAACTATATCCCTTATACAAGACGCTTACGTTAATAAGGTACTTAAACGCTTTAAGATAAGTAATTATAAAGCCTCTAAGACGCTATTAGATCTAGCTTACGTAAAGCTTATAGTTTTAAACCTAGAACACGCTATAGTAGATTAGATTAAACTGTATTAGTAGATCGTTAGCTTCCTTATATACCTGTTAACGTAAATACGCCCGGATCTGTACTATTTAATGTCTGTGTTATTACGCTATCTTACGAATCCTTCTACTAACTATATAAGCGCTACAAAACACGCTTTACGTTACTTATAAGGTACACCTAACTTAGGAATTACATACAGGATAAGTAAAGGAGTATTAGAAGGGTTATATAGATATAGTAACTCGGATTACGCTAGTTGTATAGAAACACAAAGATTAACTATCAGGTATTTATTTAACTACTATAGTAGTACGATATCCTTTAGATTAAAGCGCCTATAAGTAGTAGTACTCTCTTTTATAGAAACAGAGTACTATAGGCTCTCTAACGCTATAAGGGAGGCCGCCTAGCTAAGACAGCTATTCTACAAGTTAGGTATTAACTCTAAAGACACTAAAACGATCTGAATATACAGTAATAACTAAGGATCCTTAGCGCTAACAGATAACCTAGTTATCTACTAGAGAACTAAGCACATTAACGTATAGTACTACTATATTTAAGAGTAAGTCGCGCTAGGTAAGATAGAGGTTTAGTTTAAGCGTATAGAGGAAATAGTAGCAGATAGGCTTACTAAAGCTCTAAAAGGACCTAAACACGCTAAGTTCTTAAAGCTATTAAATCTATATACTATAGCTATCCTAATTACCTAATTAGAACGATTCCTTGTTTCTATTTCCTTTTTTTTAGTATTAAAAGCGGTAGAAACCTACTAGTTTACTATTTCTATTTCCCTTTATAGTAATAAGATAGTAGAAAACTTACTAGTTTACTATTTCTATTTCCTTTTTTAGCGATAGTAGCAGCAGAATCTCACTAGTCTACTATTTCTATTTCCTCTTTTAGCACCTTACTTAGTAGAACAGTAGACAGTATAGAATTTAGGCTAGATAGATAGATAAGACGTTATAGGCGTAGATTTAAGGGTGTGTTACAAGAAACTACTAGCCTATTACGTAAGGTTATTAGTCACGGGACTAGGACTCTAGTCTAACCTAATCAGGGTTAGTAACCTGCCAAAATTCCTAGTTGTTTACTATAGCTATAGAGGCACTTTATATAATTACTTTACTTAGTTAATTTAATTCATTAATTCCTGTAATACAACAATAGATCGAATATCCCGTGTAACAAAACGTCTATAGTACTCTTAAGTAAAGTACTTACTATAAGGCTTACTACTATTAGTCTAGCTACTAGTAGTTAAGGACTAAGTAAGCCGCTATCTTTAGGGCCTTACTATAAGGGTACTAAAGAGTTACTACCTCTAGTACTCTATACTTAAAAAGGAAAGTCTAGAGTCTAACTTTACTAGTATAAATCTATATTAAAAGAGAGCTCTTATACTTATAAAAGAGTAAGTACTTCTTAAGGGTATCTACTAAGAGAGTAGGTAGTATAGCTAGGGTAGCGCCCTAATAGTATACTAGTAAGCTATTATATTAAGACTATTATATCTTTTAGTTTTCTTATAAGGTCTCTTTTAAAAGAAAGTCTTTATACTAGTTTCTTACTTATATAGCTTAGCCTGTCTTATACTTAAGTAACGTATAAGGTAGCGCTATAGTAGCGCTATAGTAGTGTCTTTAGTATTACTAAAGACAAGTTACTACCTTATTATAAATAGACTATATAAGTTTACTTTTACTTATATATTTAAGACGTTATTTAAAGTCTACTACTTACTTATTAAGGTAAAGGTTAAGTAAGGGCGTAACTGTTTTAGACTTAAGGAACTAGACAAGAGTCGCTTAGTATACTCTTATAATAACGTAAAGGTATTATAACTACTTTATAGTAAGGTCTTTTATAATCCTCTTAGCTTATTACTTAAAAGAGTAGTACTAGACCCTTACGTTATATACTATAGTACTCTAGATTACCTTTATATAGATCTCTCTTACATATAGTAGACTATATCTTTATATAGACGTAATAAGCCTTATAAGTATAAACTATTAGGTAGTAAACTTTTGTTTAATAGCGTTAAGGTAGCCCTTTTATTTAAGCTTTTAATCTATCTAAACCCTTAGAAAGTAAGCCTCTTAGACTAAGGGTATAACCTAGCTATTAAGGTAGATAAGCGTTATTAGTATAGTATAAGTATAAGTAAGGTAAAGAAGCTTACTCTTTTTAAAGACAAACTTTATTTCTTTTATACGTAACTACTAGCTATATATCTACTATACCTTTTTAAGGTACTAGTATGTCTTTATTATATCTTTACTAAAAGCTAAGAGATTAAGGTCGTTAGTAAACCTTACTATAATAAAGCTTATATAACCTTATAGTAGTATATATAAGCTAGTAGTATAAAGAAAGAAGAGGATAAGAGAAAAGGATAAGCCTTATAGTACCCTTATAATAACTTCTTAAGGTAGTACTACTTTTTTATTAAAAAAGAGACTAGCTATTTAATTAGTAAGAAAGTTATATACCTACTATATAGCCTATATAAGAAACCTTAGGTACTAGAGAGTATAAAGAAGGCGTATATAGTTTACTATATTAAAGGCGCCTTTAATATTAAGTTAAAAGAAAGACGTTATAGCCTTATAACTCTATACTATATATATAGTATTAACTACTATTTTAACTATAAGGTCTATTAAGTGTTATAGCTAGTTCCTTATTTATATCTTTAGAAAGAGCCTTTATAACTCTATAGTATTAGTAAAGTACTAGCTAATTACTAACTTAATTACTTTACTTATTATATTTAAGAGTAATATTAGCCTATAAGCCCTTATAGTTTATTATTATTTAAAGGTCTTTTTAGGCTTATATAGTACTACTACTTTTACTACTTTAAACTATATAAGAAAGTGCCTTAGCTAAAGGCTTATAGTTACTATTAGTATAAAGAGCTTAGCTAAAAGGCGCTTATATACCTTAAGGAAGCTAGTAAGTAGTAGGTTAAGGCCTAGTACCTTTTAGGTACCTGTCTTTTAGAGAACGTTAGTAATATCTACTTTTATTATAGTATTATTAATAATAAACTATTAGTACTACTTGTCTTAAAGGTCTAGAATAACGTTACTAAGATTAGCTATTAATTCTAGAAAGAACCGCTAGCCTAATACTATTACTTTATTATAGTAGCTTATAGCTAGCGCCTCTTTATTAGCGCCTTATAAAGGTAAGAGTAAGGCCGGTTCTAGAGGTATATAACTATAGAGCCTAGTCTACTTCTTAAGACTCTAGAGTTTCTATTAGTCCTTTAAGGTAGTAGTAAAGGTACTATACTAGCTCTTAGTTTTTATATCTTAGATTACGTAGAGTTAATAAGTACTAGCCTACTAGAGGTCGCGCTAGTAGAGCTTAGTTAAGGTAGTAGCGTATTAATAGTACGCTACCTATACTTACTAGATAGCCTTAAAGACCTTACTATTTTACTAGAGCTTAGTACGCCCTTAGTTAACCTTCTTTCTTAAGGTAGATATGTCTATAATACGTATAAGCTAAGAAGTAAGTAAGTTAACTACCTTATTAACCTTATAAGGTATGTCTAGTAGTCTTAAAGAAAGGTAGAGCCTTCTAGCCTTAATTATTACTAGTTCTTAGTCTATTAAGGTCTAGCTCTATCCTAGTACCTTTATAGCTCTCTCTTAGTAATCCCTTACTTAAGTAGTAACCTTAATTAGCTAAGTATAGTAGTTAGATCCCTTATACTCTAGGTTACCTTAATAAGTATACTAGAGCGTTACTATAACCTATATATAGTCGATCGTTAAGTCTTGTTTATTATGTCGCTACTATATTAGCTCTCTTTAAGGTATATGTAGTAAGAGCTACTACTTATAGGCTAGATAAAGAAGGGTCTCTAATTTAAGAGTAGTCTTACTAGCTCTATCTTAGAGTAAGTAATAAAGGTTTATATTACTTATAATAATCTATAGCCTCTTTAAGTCCTTTTTAGTAAGCCGCTAGAGAGGGCTAGCCTAGCCTAAGAAGTTAAGAATTAGTAAGTATATTAACTAGATAGTAATACCTTATAGAGTAATATAACACTAGTTAACGCTTATCTCTACTACTTAAGTAAGAGGTAGGTACTACTTATAAACGTAAATAACTACTCTACCTTTACTCTTATAGACCTACTAGTACTTTACTTATACTAGGTAGTAGACTATCTTTATCTAAGTATTATACTATAGCTTTTAAATTATTATAACGTTAACTTTATAGCTATCGTAAAGTACTATTAAGATAAGGCTATTCTTTTTTATAGTATTCTAGTATACTATTATTAATTTTATTACTAAGAGTCTAAGATCTATAAGTCTTACGTTATAAAAAGGTCGCTAGACCCTTAGCTAGCTCCTTAGCTTAACATCTTTATAATATTATAGCTTTATACTATTACTATATCTAGTACTCTAATAAAAGGGTACTCTTACCTTACTAGAGTCTTTACTATAAGCTTCTTACTATTACTTGTCTATAGTCTCTTAGGTACTATAATCTAGTAGCTATCGTTACTATCTTATAAAGACACTAGTATAATACTAGGTACTTAGCTAGTAAAGCTACTCCTAGATACCTTAAACTATCTAGGCCTTTATTAATATATAGTATATACTTACTCTTTTACCTTAAGGGCCTTAAGACACTAGTAGTCTTATACTACGTATAGTCTACTATAGTTAATATATCTCTTTTTACTATTAAGCTAGAGGTATTCCTCTTTACCTTAAGGGTACGCCACTCTTATATAGTAGCTATACTAGGCCTAGTTCTTATAGAACCGCCTAATATAGCTAAACTAGTAGTACTAGAAGTATCTTTAGATTTATAGGTTAGCTAAATATAGCTTATAGTTAAAGATCTAGGCTTACTAGATTAACCCTTATTTATATAAGCGTATTACTACGTTAGTACTCTAAAGGTATAGTACTAC